TTGCAGGACACAGACCCTCAACTCCTCCCCCCCCAACACTCCTATCCTACACCCATAGTCTGAGTCCCTGAAATCCTCAAATCATGGAATCACATTACAGAGAACCCACCATTACAGAGAACCCACATTACAGAGAACCCACCATTTACGCTAGGTGAAACCATCAAGTGACACCCTGCCCCCGAGGTCTCTGCCAATCTGACCTGGCCCATGTTTGTCAGAAGTCGTCTCTTCTCTCCCATTCCCCACTTCCTCCAGAACAAGGGAAATAACAAAACATCACTTGTCACCACTTCCAGCCCCCAGCTAAAACCCCTCCAGCACATCCATGACCTGCAACTGCTCCAGGAAAACCATCCCTCACTCTCAGGCTACATCTAGACTGGCATGATTTTCCGAAAATGATTTTAACGGAAAAGCTTTTCTGTTAAAAGCATTTGCGGAAAAGAGCGTCTAGATTGGCACGGACGCTTTTGCACAAAAGAAATCTGGGCTGTCTACACTGGCCCTTTTGTGCAAAAGCTTTTGCGCAAAAGGACTTTTGCCCGAACGGGAGCAGCATAGTATTTCTGCAAGAAGCACTGATTTCTTACATGAGATCGTCAGTGTTCTTGTGGAAATTCAAGTGGCCAGTGTAGACAGCCCCACAGTCCTTGGGAAACAGGCCAGTCCTTGCTGACAAACTGCCCCCACCCTAAGCCAACACTTGCTAGCTGCCATCCACCATACTACAGAAACACCAGCCCAGGAACCAATCCCTGAAAGAAACCCCGGCATTGCCAACTCTGCCCACACATCCACTCAGGCAAAAACATTTCTTGCATCACATGAAGTGGGCTTTGACCCAAAAAAGCCTGAGCCCAAATGAATCTGTTTGTCTCTAAGGGTGTGTCTAGACTACAGGGTTTTGTCGACAAAAGTGGACTTTTGTCGACAAAACTATACCTGCGTCCACACTGCCTTTGAGTTATGTCGACATAACGTCGACAAAACTTAGCAGTTTTGTCGACGTATGTAAACCTCATTCTACGAGGAATAACACCTTTTGTTGACAGAGTTCTGTCGATAGAAGGCATTATTGCATCTACGCTGTCCTTTACGTCCACACTGTTATGTCGACAAAGCGGCTTGCTTTGTAGACAGAACTGGCTGCAGTCTAGACGCTCTTTGTCGACAGAAGCTTTGTTGACTGTATCTGTTGACAAAACTTCTGTCGACAAAACCCTGTAATCTAGACATACCCTAAGGTGCCACAGGACTCCTCGTTGTTTCATTCTTAAAACAGGTTTCCACTTAGTATTTCTAACGTCACATGGAGCCTGCTCTTGCTGTGCTCCAGGATTTGGGCAGGGGTCTGGGAACCTGTCCCTGCAGTGTGGGGAGTGGCTTGCAGGGGGGAGGAAGAGCTGAACCTCTGCTGCTGTGGGTGGCAGCTTGGGAGCGGGGCCTCGGGTGGAAGACACGGGGCTGAGGGTTGTCTGCTCTGGGTCAAGGTTCACCCAATCCCTAGGATACAATACCTCATGTGTTATGCTGAGTAGGAACTGAACCAGTGTGACATGTTGGGGAGCCAGAACAAAGCCAGACTGCACTCAGCCCCCCGGAGGGCAGTGAATCCCCATCAGATCACCGCGAGGAAAGGAGAAAGGGGAAGCGATGTGTGGGGCAGGATTTTTTCCATTGCCTCCAAGTGAGGAGTATGAGCCCTGTGCTGGGATGCAGCCTTGCCAGCAGGTCAGGAAATGGACAGAGTTTGTAGGTGAAAGGAAAAGTTTGGGTCCCCCTGGAAACAACTGTAACGCCCTCGTTCTTCCCTGGGTTACTGGGGAGCAGGCCACACACCCCTGTGTGCCTGGGTGCTGAATGTTGTTAACACTAAAGAAGATCCTGAGTAGCGCTGGGGTGGTGTTGGATAGTTGGGGATCCCCGATCCACCCCCTTGCTGCTAAAGAAATATACAATGGCGGTGCCTCCACCTGGCTGGCTCTGTACATACTGAATGCCGTGCCTTGGGAATCTCCAGGGATAATCTTCTGCCAGTGACAGTGGCCTCTAATGCCAAACTAACCATGACAACTAAAACACATCGAATTGATGACGTTCCAATTAACAGTCCTTTACTCAACCAATTAAGCAACAGGGTTTCACAGACTAAAAGTGAATACAATCATTTCACAAAGGACACAGACATAAAGGACACCTGCCTAACTGGCCTTTACTCTGCTCCCATTCATCCCATCTCCCAGAGTGCACTTCTCTGGCTGTCACAGTCCCAGACTCTTGCTGAGTGGGCTATTACAGATCTGTGGCGGGTGTAGAGACAGCCTGAGCAGCGTGTGCGTGTGTCAGTCCAGGCCACACAGCCAGGCCAGATCACTCTGCATCTCTTCGGTCCCACTGTCTGTTTACTGGGCTCCATCCCAGGCAGCACTTTCCCAAAGAGTCACAGTTACATAAAGTACCTTCTATGCAGGTTTATGTAGGCCCTGTTGTTGACAGGAACCCCAATATTGACATTTGAATTGTATTGAGATATTTAGCTGCTTCTTCCTTTGTGCAAGTATAAACCAGAGCTGGAGGAAGCAATATGAAGCAATCAGACAGAATTTTGCTTACAAGGAATACGGGGCATGGGACATGGGTAGAGAGAGGACTGTATGTTTCATCGTGATCAGGGTATTTTTCTTTGTTTTGGTTGTTTGATTAAGCTTCTCTGTGTAAAATCCATGTGCTCCCCATTTACTAAGCTGTACCCAGAGATAATCTGTTCTCTGTGTTTCAATTTGTTTTCCTCAGTTGCTCTGTAACGCCTAACAATCCAGTGTGTTTTATTAAGGATCTCTTTTGGGTTTTAATTAATACAGTAATTTGTAAGGCAATGATTTGATTTTTGTTTCCTGGGAGGAAACAGGAGGACTGAATGGCTACGTCTAGACTGGCATGATTTTCCGGAAATGCTTTTAACGGAAAAGTTTTCCGTTAAAAGCATTTTCGGAAAAATCGTGTCTAGATTGGCAGGACGCTTTTCCGCAAAAGCACTTTTTGCGGAAAAGCGTCCGTGGACAATCTAGACACGGTTTTCCGCAAAAAAGCCCCGATCGCCATTTTTGCGATTGGGGCTTTTTTGCGGAAAACAGTACTGTGCTGCCTACACTGGCCCTTTTGCACAAATGATTTGCGCAATACGGCTTTTGCCCGAACGGGAGCAGCACCGTAATTCCGCAAGAACACTGACGATCTTACATGAGACCATCAGTGTTCTTGCGGAAATTCAAACGGCCAGTTTAGACAGCTGGCAAGTTTTTCTGCAAAATCATCTGATTTTGAGGAAAAACTTTCCAGTCTAGACACAGCCAATGTGTGCCTGCCCATCCTGAGAGTTTGGCACAGTGTGTTTTCTTTTGTTTCTTTTTTTGAGCTCTTTTGTGGCAGAAGAGCTTGGTGTATCCCTGAGGAAGTGTTCCTCCCTGGGTTTTCAGGGATCATTAAAAAAAATCACTTGATAGGTGGCAGCCTATCTTCCAGAACCAGTGCATCTGGGGAGCTTTTCTGTATGCAGAGCCTAAGGAGTAGGGCGGGGAACCTCACGCCTTGGAGCTGGATGCGAGCCTTGCTTTGCTTGGATCTGGCCTCTGAGGCTCAGGGCTGCCTCTCACAGCACTAGGAAGCCCACAGCACTAGGAAATCCAGACCCACCAAGGCTGGAGCACACAGAATCTGCCACCCTGGCTCCGTTCTAGGCTCTGGTGTGTGTTGGGAATGTGGGGTGGGTCTCTCTCCTACTCAGGCACCACTTAAGCATTTGTTTTGGTTTGTTTTTCCTTCTCACTTGTGTGCGTCTGATTTTACTCTCGGTCAGTGGCCTCCAACCTAAAAAAGGTTCCCCACCCCTGCTAGAGAGGCAAGGGATTTAAGGTCTTGTGTGGGCCTCCATCTTGTGCACTGGGAGTGCCAGAGGGGGAACAGCCCAAACAATTGCGAGGCAATCTTATCAAAAAGCTAACAAAATACACAGTGCCATGTAGACTCAAAAACAAGCCCCGATCTGCACACGGGAATTGTCTGGAGTAGGGCAATGTGCAAAGAGGAAGGGTTTTTTTTCCAAAACCTTCTCACTCCCAACCTCTGTACAGGCCACATATCCCCAGAGATGCCCACACACCCCATTTGAAAAGGTAGGGAGTAGATTATGGCTCCTTCTGGCCTGAAAACTTCTAGATCTATGAATCACATGTCTTGCATGGATTGTTACCTCGGATTCAACTTAACCAATTTACTCCTCAGCAAGGACAGATGCTGACCATGAAGAAACAGGACTGGCACCGTACATCTGGGCTGTATGGTCTAAACCAAGTCCCATCTTGGAGGAGTCTAAAAATTGTCCCACTCTTCCAACTGGGAACAACACCCCTCTGTGCTAAGATGTGATTGTCAGGCACATCCCATTGGACACTCCAGTTTCTTCTCTTTTAGGTGTTTGTTTCCCGCGCTCTGCTGTCCTCCTTAAAGTAAGAGGTGTATAGTCAAAAAGCACATTGTCACTGCCTTGTTTGCAGGGGTGAGATGTGTCCCAAACTTGCCACTCCCTGACTCCCTTTATGTGCCCTGTCTCTTCCCAAAAAACCTTACCCACATTCCCTTTCCCTGATGCTTTGCCTCCAACCCAGGCCAGATGGCCCATGGTGAGACCAACATAGCAGTTCAGGTTGCTTTAGGGAGCTGTGGACTCGTCACCCTCCGTGGGATGTGCATCTTGGGGGCAAAATGTAGAAGGCCTGGGGCTCCTCAGAGTACCATGACCCGGCTATTATTTCCTCTCTGAACAGGGAACAGAGTTTCGGTAAAAGGGGAGTAGTCGAGGTGCAGCCTTAAGCAAAGACATCAGGAAGGAGAGGAGCCTCGGAGGAAAAGTATGCAGAATCGAATATATGGATGTGTCAACCCAAGTGTTTTTTGTGTCCCATGTCACCAGCCATGGAGCTGGGCAATAAACTGACCCTTCATTTGACGAACACCCTGATGATCCTTGCACGAAGATGTTTGCTTTTGATGCTGTACACAATTGGGTTCATCAGAGGTGGAGCCATCAGGTAGATGTAGCCCAGGAGGGTCTGAAGCAAGTGAGTAGAGCTGTCCCCGAATCTGTGTAGCACAGGCAGACCCAACATTGGTGTGTAATAGAGCACAACGGCACAGATGTGGGAGACGCAGGTGTTCAGGGCCCGGAGGCTCTCGATGCGGGATGCAATGCCCAGCACTGTCTTGAGGATCATCACATAGGAGACAACAATGAGCAGCGCATCCAATGCCACAGTGGAGATTACAACAAACAAGCCGTAGAAGCTGCTGACTCTTATATCTGAACAAGCCAACTTCATGACATCCTGGTTTAGACAGTAGCAATGGGACAGGACGTTGGTTTGGCAGTATTGGTACCGTCTCAGAAGAACGGGAAATGGAACTGTTACAACCACCCCTCTCACCACAAATACCAGCCCCATCTTGGCTATTCTGCGCGGGCTTAAGATGGAGGTATATCTCAGCGGGTTAAAGATTGCGATGAAGCGGTCAAAGGCCATCAACAGGAGCATGGAGGATTCAGTGATTGAAAATAAGTGGACAAAATACAGCTGAGAAAAACAGGCATCCATGATGATCTCCCTAGAGTTAAACACGTAAAAGCCCAGAATTGTCGGTATGGTGGATATCGATAAGCCAAGGTCTGTTACGGCCAACATGGAAAGGAAAATGTACATGGGCTCATGGAGGCTAGGATCTGTTTTTATAAAGAATATAATGGCTGCATTTCCTACTATTGAAATAGCATACATGATGCTGAAGGAGATAGCGATCCAGACATGGGCTTGTTCATGGCCAGGTATCCCAGTGAGAAGGAACACTGCAAATTGCGATTGGGTGTCATTAACAGCGGACATCCTATACCGGGCAGGTCCAAGGAGTTCTGACCTTTCCTTCCTGAAAAGAAAAACATCAGGAGACCAGATGCTATTTAACATGACATCTTTCTGAGCTGAATGGACATTGAACGACTTCCATGAGTTTGTGGAAAATCAGACAACTTATATTTGCATTTACACCCACAGGTGACACATATTTTCTGGTCTAAATAAGTCAGATTTAAATGGTTCCTTGACAATCTTCACTGCTGTAATTGGATTTTCTGGGTATCCATAGAAGCATCCGGTCACCCGTTATTCCTACTGAGTTCTCTGCCCCCTTTCTGTCGTGTCTCTGAGTTCTACAGCCTACTTGAGCTCCATGTGGTTTTACAGTGGCAACCTTCCCACCCACACTCTCTGAGCCTACACTTTTGGGAGTGTCCCCTGGTGAGGTGTGCATTCACAGGGCAAGGGCATGAGGAAGAGTCACTGTATAGAGTTGTCCTCCATAGAAGCTATAGGTAAATTTGTTTCATTGTCTCCCATGCATTTTTTTTATTTTCTCCACTCCTGAGAGTTCAATTTAAGCTACTGCCATTAAGCTTGTGCTTCTTTAAAAAACATGGGATAAATATTTTGGGCTGGGTATGATATTCAATGCAACTATATTCACTCCAAATACAGATGTGTACATGGGATCAGAAGCAGGATCTGTTAATTTTCCTAATAAAATACTCATGGTGATGCTTTCCTTGTAAGAGAAGCTAAAGTATTTGCATAGCAAAAGTTCACTGAGTGCAGAGAATTTAAAATCCTACAGCCTTCTCCCTAGAGAACCCGCATGCTATCCCCAAGTTAACACAGGCCGTGACTTCAGCTGGGGTGGGTTGGGGAGAGCCTAACAGATGGGTAAATATTGCAAAAACTAGGCTTGTGTTAATATCAAGCTGAATCAGAAAAAAATTCTGTCACGCTCCTGTGACCGGTTATGTGTGTAAGTTACATATGACCACATTACATTCCTATTATCTGCACCTCTGCTCTCGTCTTTGCTGAAACAAAACATGGGGACCTGGCAGATGGTTTGAACGTGGAGGGAGCGTGGGCTATAATAGCACAGAAAAAGGAGGAAGAAGGCAAAAATGGGAGGCCATGTCAAATCAGTATCTTAAATGCCTCTATACGAATGCAATAAGTATTCCAAGGTGGGCTCTAAAGAAACTACACTGTCTCCTTAAAAGCCTCCCTACAGCTACTCGGGAACAAATCCACACAGAAACACCTTCTGACCCCCAACCAGGTTTGTTCTATCTGCTTCCCAAGATCCATAAAACTGGACACCCCAGACGTCCCATCATCTCCGGTATTGGCACACTCACTACTGGTCTATCCAGCTATGTAGACTCTCTCCTCAAACCCTATGCAACCAACACCCCCCGCTATCTCTGAGACATTACTGACTTCCTAAGGAAACTGCAAAACATCGATAACCTCCCCAATAACACTATCCTTGCCACCATGGATGTAGAAGCTCTATACACTAACATCCCACATGAAGACGGATTACAAGCAATTAGAAACACTATCCCAGAGGACACCACTGCCAACCTGATAGCAGACCTATGTAACTTTGTTCTCACCCACAATTATTTCCAGTTTGAGAACTAATTCCTCCAGACCAGCGGCACAGCCAAGGGTATACGCATGGCCCCACAGTATGCTAATATCTTTATGACTGACCTAGAACAACGTTTCCTCAACTCCCGTCCCCTTTTACTCCTTCTCTACTTACGCTACATCGATGACATCTTTATGATCTGGACGCATGGCCAAGAGACACTGGAGACATTCCACAGAGAATTCAACAACCTACATTCCACCATCAACCTCAGCCTGGACCATTCTACACGAGAGATCCATTTCCTGGACACCACAGTTCAAATCAACAATGGAATATTAGACACCACCCTCTACAGAAAACCCACTGACTCATACAGTTACCTACATGCTTCCAGCTCCCATCCAGCACACACCATACGATCCATCATCTATAGCCAAGCCCTTCGATACAACCGCATCTGCTCTAATCCCACTGACAGAGACCAGAAACTTCAGGATCTCTACCAAGCTTTTATAAACCTCAACTACCCTCCCGGAGAAATAAAAAAGCAAATTGAAAGAGCCAGATGAATACCTAGAAGCCATCTATTTCAAGACAGACCCAAGAAAACCAACAATAGAACACCACTTGTCATCACCTACAGCCCCCAACTTAAACCTGTCCAACACATTATCAATAAACTACAGCCTATACTGGAACAGGACACTAAACTCCAAGAGGCTCTGGGAGACAGACCCATAGTCTCCTATAGACAACCACCTAACCTCAAGATGATTCTTACCAACCACCACAGGACATACCACACTAATACCAACCCTGGTACCTTCCCTTGCAACAAACCCCGTTGCCAGCTTTGTCCACATATTCATTCTGCTGATACCATTATTGGACCTAACCAAGTAAGTTATAAGATCAAGAACACATATTCCTGCGCATCCAGAAATATAATCTACGCTATCATGTGCCGAAAGTGTCCGTCTGCTATGTACATTGGACAAACATCTCAGACACTTCGCCAAGCACATCCAGAAATATAATTTATGCTATCATGTGCCGAAAATGTCCGTCTGCTTTGTACATTGGACAAATGTCTCAGACACTTCGCCAAAGGATCAATGCCCACAAAACAGATATTAGACAGGATCACAAAGAAAAAACAGTTTCTTGCCATTTCAACCTGAAAGGACACGGTCTCAACGACTTAATTACCAGCATCCTGCTTCAGAAGCCTTTTAAATCTGTTCTTGAAAGGGAATCCTCTGAACTGTCATTCATGCTAAATTTCGACACTCTACGCATGGGTTTCAACAAAGACCCCAGTAATCTTACCCATTACAAAGATAGCTTCCCTAATTATCACCTCTAATACCATTAGCTCACAGACATTTACCTTTCCACACCTCTAATACCATTAGCTCACAGACATATACCTCCCCCCCCCCCCCCCCCCCCCAAATGTGATTTGTCCTTTTCATATGTGTTCTTTTTTTTAATTGTATCCTTTGGTATATATGGTTGTGACTATTTTCTTCCACTATTTGATCTGAGGAAGTGGGTCTGACCCAAGAAAGCTCATAATCTAATAAACCATCTTGTTAGTCTTTAAAGTGCTACATATTCCTGTATTTTGTTCTCAAAGAGTAGTTATTAGTGGGTCACAATCCTGCTGGAAGGACATAACAAGTGGGGGCCCCCAGGGGTTCTGGGACCAGTTCTGTTCAATATCTTCATCAATGATTTAGATTTTGACATGGCGAGTATACTTATTTAGGGCATGTCTACACTACCACCCTAGTTCGAACTAGGGAGGTAGTGTAGACATACCCTAAGTTTGCAGATGATACAAATCTGGGAGGGGTTGCAACTACTTTGGAGGATAGAGTCATTATTCAAAATGACATAGACAAACTGGAGAAATGGTCTGAAGGTAAATAGGATGAAGTTTAACAAGGACAAATGCAAAGTGCTCCACTTAGGAAGGAACGAGCAGTTTCACACATACAGAATGGGAAGCAATTGTCAAGGAAGGAGTACTGCGGAAAGGGATCTAGGGGTCATAGTGGACCAATATGAGCCAACAGTGAGATGCTGTTGCAAAAAAAGAAAACATGTTTCTGGGATTCATTACATTAGCAGGAATGTTGTGAATAAGACACGAGAAGTCATTCTTCCACTCTACTCTGCACTGATCAGCCTCAATTGGAATATTGTGTCCAGCTCTGGGCACTGCGTTTCTAGAAAGATGTGAAGAAATTGGAGAAGGTTCATAGAAGAGCAACAAGAATGATAGAAGGTCTAGAGAACATGAAATATGAACGAAGACTGAAAGGATTAGGCTTGTTTAGTTTAGAAAGGAGATGACTGAGAGGGGATATGATAGCGCACTTCAGGTACCTAAAAGGGTGTCACAAGGAGGAGGTTGACAAATTGTTCTCCTGGGCTTCTGCAGATAGGACATGAAGCAATGGCCTTAAACTACAGCAACAGAGATTTAGGCTGGAGATAATGAAAAACTTTCTAACTGTCAGGGTGGTTAAACACTGGAATAAATTGCCTAGAGAGTTTGTGGCATCTGCATCTCTAGAAATATTTAAGAGCAGGTTTGATAGACATCTTTCAGGGATTGTCTAGATGGTACTGGGTCCAACTGAGGGAGAAGGTGGCTGGATTCAATTACCTCTCGAGGTCCCTTCCAGGTCTAGTGTTATATGATTCTATGAAAACCCAGCGGTTCTTGTCTCTCGGGATTTGGGGGACAGCTGATCTACGTAGTACAGAAGACAGTGTTCATGACCCTGAATGTAAGTGTCACAAATACCCTCTGGTCAAGTGTCAGGGGGTGAATTGTGTTACCCTGTATCCAAAAAACCATGAGAAGTCCTGTGGCACCTGACAGACTAACAGATTTATTTGGATATAAGGTTATGTGGCAAAAATCCACTTTGTCAGATGCACCTGATGAAGTGCGGTTTTCCCCACAAAAGCTTCTATCTTCCAGTCCGCTATCAGAAACCAGAAGGAAACAACTGTTCAGAGAACAAAGAGTTAATCTTACAGACTGAGTGGCAAGAAGATTTGGGGAACTTCTGAAATGAATTATAAGCCCAATGCTTTGGAGCAGTAAAGTTAACCCTTCTCCTTCCTTTAGAGATGCCCACAACTCTGCTGCTGGCTTTCCACACACTGGCATGTCTTGAAAGTTTGCTCTGTGATACATGTAACACAATGCAAAGTT